ATGCAGCACATATACTTGAATGAAAAAGTTTGTAACAATCTAACAGCCATATATAGAAAAGCTTTTAAAAACAAAATCTTAATTTGTAAAATAATATCAAATAGTTGTATACACAACAAACAAATCTATATACTCAAAAGTATATGAAAAATCTAATTCGAAAGTCATATAACTACACTTTCTATTAACTAAATAACAATAAAACTTCAGAAATTGCAATAGTCATCTGACTTAAGCAAAGTCAACTCAACTACTGGAAGCTCTAAAATATACTTGATGATTCAGTAGAAGTCAAAACAATTGAAAAAGGTAACCTTGCTATTGCAAATTTGACTATGGCAAAGAAGTTATATTTTATATATAACAGCTGGAGATGAAAAAAGATCTTTGATACTCAAAGAGATACCATATCTATTAAGACAATTATAAATAATGAGAAAAAATATATAAAAGCTATTTTTCTCTAAAAAGAAACAAAATAATGTTTTGAATCAACTAATCAATATGATTATACTAATAATAAGAGAATGGAGAGTAGTTTAAATTTTTGCCAGTACTTGTAAAGGTTTCATTTCAAGCTGGTATATATAAATCAGTGCAAAGGTAATAGAATAACAAAATTTGTTGAAACAGTCTTACTGAACTTTAAAATGGATTGAATATGAACTTCAAATGGTAAAAGTGGTCCCTAAACTGAACAATTAGAAAATTAATTGGGAAGTTTTGACTGAATCAATAGGAACTACTATAAGAAAAGTCAAAATACAAAATAGAGAAGTATTTTTCATTCCATATTAGCTTACCTACAATCCTATCACAAATAGTACTACTTGTTATCCTTATATATTCAAACAATCAATAATTTCACATATATCCCGAACCTGGTTACTATTGCAACTTAATAGGCAAAAAAGTTTTAGAAAACCAAATCTACTTACACTTTTAGGAAATCTCATAGACTGGTAACTCACAGTATCAACAAATGAATCAAGTACTATATATTCATTGAGACTAGAAGAGATTGAGATATAAATAAAGAATTGAGAAGTCGAACTGATTTGTCTCATCTGAGCATATTAGTTAAGGGGGATCTAGAAGAATTGATGAATCTTCTTTCTTGATGTGTGAATTAGATTAATCTGAAATAGGCCATATAATCAGAGAAGCATATAACAGACCTAATAAAGAGTCTTAGACACAACTATAAAAGCAATACAAAGCAATTTATTTCTTTACTGATGAATCTTACAAGCAATGTACAAAAAGCGAGAATAAACTTGAAATGGATCTTTTATAAATACAAATTGAGAACAACATAATAACCAATTAATTTTCAGTAGGGGAAACATTATGGTCATTAATTATAAGAGTATAAATCCTAGCTATACTTACTGCAATTTTTATAATATCTAAAAATGAAAAAGTATTTATATATACAGATTATAGTATAGTTATTAAGATATGGAAGACAATCTAGTTACAAAAGTTTATTTTTATAAGGAAATAGACTAAAATAATTAACTGATTACTATGGAACTGAATCAAGGACCTAATACAAAAGAAAAATCTTTGCCTCATACTTGAAAAAATCAAGGTCCATCAAAACAATGAGTTCAATAATATAGTATATAGATTAGTAAAGCAAGCCAAAAGAGAAAATCCTTGACTTGACAACAAAATCTAATTTGGATCAAGTTCTTACAATAGTAGCTTGGAAAGAACATACTATTGATATCAGTATTAGAGATTTTCTTAAAAAACAGAACACTAAAAAAATAGAATTAGCTTGGACTAAGTAAAAATGTATCCAAGATTGATAAATACACCCTAGTAAAGAAATTGACTGGAAAATTTTCTGAAGATAATTCAATCTATACAATACCTTTTATACCTTCTTTAGCATCAACAAGGACAAGAGTTTTTTGATAAACCTAATCCATGATAAGTTTTCTATCCTTCAAGTGATTCAAAAAAGAAAATTAGACTTATATTTAAACACAATATGTTCAATGTTCAAATTATAAGAGGAAACTTTGAAATATCTTTTTGAATATCTCAAGATTCAAAGTAAAAAATCAATTATATAGGACAAATCTTAAAGTAAAATCCTTCAGTATATTGGAAAAACAAAAGATCTATCTGATAAGAGCCAGGCAGAAGTTAAAAGAGTAATAGGAAAATAGATTTAGGACATTAAATAACAGGATGAAAACTTATATAACACAGTCTGTAGCTTTATACATAGAAACAAGACCAAGATCCTGGAAAAGTATCTTAAAGCCCTCAAGATCTCAATGATAATAATACAAGAGGCTATTAATAAATTTTATAAAAAAATAAGGAAGACCTTTAAAAAAGAAGTCTGGAACAAGTGCTATAGCATTACTATTGAATAGAAACAAAATCAAGGAATTATCAACAAACTCAAAAGGTTTAGAGTATTAACTAAGATGACTAAAAAAGTGGATTAAGTTCTTAAGGAAACCAATCATTTTTTTATTCTTTCTTCTAGAAATACTGTATAATAGAAGAAGAAGAAAACTCAAAACAAATAAAGTTTTAAGACAAAATAGTAGATATAATAAGTAGTTGGATATTTAAAGGTTTTAAATGATTTGGTTTTTAATTATAATTAGAATTTTGAAAGATTTACAGTAATGAGCTATAGGCAATAATTTAAGTCGTTAAAGGATAATCTAAGTAACAAAGAAAGCAAAATATCATCCCTTAAGTTACATTTAGATAAGGTTAAACTTTATAGATAGATGAGTCAATATGTGAAAATCATAAAATATATAAATATCAAATATGTTTACAATAAAATGGACAATCCATATTGATCTGATTGTGAGTTAAAAAAAAAATAATAATTTGTATATAACTTATAAACTTATAATATTTATATAAATTAATATATCAATTCTTTCCACTGATCTTTTTGAACTTATACAAAAAAGATGTTCACAAGAAATTTTTATATTTCTTAATTAATAAAATCTAATTACTTTCTTTAAACCAACTTGAAATAACATTTCAAGAATTATTTCTATCTTTTCTTTCCTCTTGTAAACATTTTCTTCAAACAAAACCTAACTTTTAATGATCAAAGTTATAAATACATCTTTCTTATCAATGGTAAGAAAGTTCTGAAAGAAAGAAAAACTGAAGTGCTGTTATCTATTTATATACTAGAGAAACAACATAGAGCTTTTCTATGATAAGAGACTTATCTTGAAGGCAACCATCCATTCTCTTGTCATATGTTTACTTTAAGAGAACTCTTTTTCAGTTTTTTCTAAAGAATTTTATCTACTTCTGTTTGACTCTGAATCTTAAGTAGTATAAAGTTTTTCAAGCAATAATTGGCTAGCAAAAAACATATCAATAAAAAAATGCAAACAAGTTTTTATTGGTTACTGCATATATCTGAATATATTTCTTCAGTTCTATAAGAATCTGGGGTCTATTATAAGATATTAGGTTATAATATAGGTGGATATAGGACACAATCTCTCCTATGTCAATGCCTCAATTAAGAAAGAATCCCAACAACATACTATATGAATCTATCAAGTAAAACTATATCTACAATAAGACTCAAGGATATATAAAAAGAGGATAATGTCTAAAAAGTATTACGTCTATCTTTTAAAAGCATTAGATCAGTAGGCTGGAAGATTTATTATTTATATCAACCAAAAGGTAGGATCAATGTGCAGTTTAAAGAAAAAAGGACTATGACTTAACCTCTTAAGATAGTAATACTCTGGAGAAAATAGTATAATATTTATCAAATTTAATAAAATGTAAGTCAGATATATCAAGACTTTTTTTTCTAGGATAGAATTGTCACAATAATAATAAAGGACAGATTATTGGATAACAGGTCTCTCCCCCTTAGCACTTATACAGTTTAAGGAATGAAACCCTGACAATACCATTGAGCTACTTCTCCCTTATGTCCTAGAACCTTTCTGACAACCTTTGACTTATTATTACCTGAAAGAACATCAATAGAAATCTCATATTAGATAAAGTAAGGTAGAAATCAAAAGAAAGAACTGGAGCTAGAAAACAAGATACCATAATATGGTTGCACTAAAGCAGCTGAAGAAGAAGTATTATGATCTGGACTAATAAAACCCTTGAAGAGTAACCAGCCAACAATACAAAAGTAATAGTAATAGTGTGGTTTTCAAATTACTTTATAATAAGACCAACACCCTTTTTCTATCAATACTTTCTTTGTTATATATAGAATCTTTTTCCCTATTTAATCTTGTATAGTTTTTGTTTGTAGTTATAATATAACCTGAAAGATAGAATTATAATAGTTAGATAGATACTATTACTATTAGATTTAAATTTGAGTAACATATTGATTCTAACACAAACAACATATATTTTTTCTTAATTTTCTCATACTAGTAAACCCCTTTATTAACCCCTTTGTCCCAAAAAGGATGGCACTGTCACAAAGTAAATTTTTCCTTATCGAAGTTTTACTTGAAAAACAGAAGTAACTTATCCACATCATATATGTAATATCTACTATATTCAAATAAAACAAGGCTGTGTTAGCAAAAAAAAAATATGAATTAATATATAAAATTTAAAAAAATAGAATAAAATATTCTATTGCCAAATTTAAAGCATACTGTATGGTTTACTGTTACACAAAATATTATAAAAAAAGATCGGAGACCAAATTCGAATAAATAATATAACGATATACTGTAGATAATCGATCGTTCGATAATTTTCATGTATCGGTATACGGTTTCAACCCTTCGAACACCAACAGTTTCCCTCCGATATGCAATAAAATCCATTTTCTCGGTAAAAGAACATTGTAGGCTAAAAATAAACGACCTGAGGCAAGACAGTTTTGGAACAAAACAGGTTGCTTTTGAGCATATGTTTAACTTATCGGGATTAATCCACGTCAATTAAAATCTTGTCAAAAGTAACAACAAAGGCCGAACATGTTATATTGACAGATGTCAACTGCCACTTCAATTCTTCCGAGTTCTGGAGAACCCCCGCAGGTAACTATTATATATATATATATATATATAGATACTGTAAGAAACAACGGACAACAAAATAATAAATAAGTTTCACAGGCTGATGTAATTCAAAGAAGGGTATTAGGCAGTCGTGTTTTTGTATTGAATCGACCGGAAGTTTATAATGCATTGAACCTCAACATGATAAGGAGCATGACACCACAATTACAGGTTAGGCCAATGGTGTACCGAATCATCTTATATCACACCTTCGCGTTAATTTTTGCAATCCAATAACCAATTTTTTAGGTGTGGAACGAATCAGATCTGTGTAAGGTTATTATCCTAAAATCTACCGGAAGTAAATCCTTTTGTGCTGGAGGTGACGTTAAACGTATGGCAGGCATCAAAAATCTCTTGCATAGTGAAAATTCATTGTATTAAGCCGTCATACTCATCGTGATCTGATTTTTTTCAGGCGTATTGCAGCTGAAAGAAGCTGGTGAACATGTTGAGGCTGTTAAATTTTTCGAAGAAGAATATCAGCTTAATCATCTCATCGCCACATTATACAAACCTTTCGTTTCAGTTTTAAATGGCATCACTAGTACGTTTGATCATGATCGTCTTAACCTTTTTATAAAGCAAATCTGAGGGCCTCTATTCAAACATTCACATAGCTTTTTTCCTTTTTCACGATTTCTGCATATCAAGTGGGCGGTGGTGTCGGCCTTTCTGTTCACGCACCATTTCGCATTGCCACCGAGAACACTGTTTTTGCCATGCCTGAAGCAAAAATTGGGTTTTTTCCTGATGTCGGGGGTTCATTCTTTTTACCAAGGATGGATGGTGAGGTTGGAACCTATTTGGCGCTGACTGGATCACAATTGTCGGGAATGGATGTTTTGTATGTTTTCTGGTTTAATCTATTCTCCAATGCGGCATCGATACAATCATTCTTGTTAACTCCACATATTATAGCTTTTCTGGGATTGCCACACATTATGTTCCTTCTCAGCGATTGCCACTCTTGGAAGTTCGATTAAGCGAACTCGAAAGCGATGATCACGAAATAATCAATTCTGCGATTGAAGACTTTGTGGCAGAGTGTGATGGGGAACATAAATATTCCCTCGGCGGTGAAATTAGGAAGTCAATTGATCGGCAAGTCATTATGACGTATATAAACTGATTAACCTGGTTTCAATTACTAATTCGGGATTCCGTTTAAACAGCTGCTTCAGTAAAGATACGATTGAAGAGATCATTGATGCTTTGAAAAAGGAAAATACGATTTGGGCCAAGGAAACGATGGAAACTATCATCAAAATGTCACCCACGAGTCTTAAAGTGAGAAAATTTATGATTGTTCTCTTTCGGTGGAACCGAACGCATTTACGACCAAACCAATTTATTATAATTGAAGGTTACGTTAATGGAACTACGGAAGGGAAAGAAAATGGTTATAACAGATTGCTTTAAAATGGAATATGAACTTGCACAGAAGTTCATGGTTGGTTTGTTTAGATCAATCCTTATGTGATTATAAATAGACATCGATCGTTCATCCTTATTTAATTTATTTATTAGGAGAAATCGGATTTCAAAACTGGAGTTACAGCGGTTTTGATTAAGAAGACATCTGAAAAGCCAGATTGGAATCCTTCAAACATAGAAGATGTGACCCTTAAAGATGTTGAAAATTTTTATTTTTCCCATTCGGGATCTAAACTTAAGTTACTGAACAGCATTTCTTTTGAGAACTACCCTTTTTCGAGATTCAATCTTCCATCAGAAGAAGAAATTTGTAAAGTGGTCACAGGTGAAACGCCTGATGCTGGATCTATGAGCATGTCTCAGCAAGAAGTTGTGGACTTCTTTTTGAAGGATCGTAAAGGTAAGATCGGAGTGCGAGAGAAGGTACTGGAAGTTTTGGATAGGAAAACAACTGTAAAAGGTGATCAAGAAGGTTTGACGTGGATAGAAAATACAGATTAAGTATGAACTACATGTTTCGCTTAACCAATAAAATATAATTGTAATCTTAACATAAACCAATCTGATTGCGAATAATAAAAAGGCATCAATCAACATTTGTTTTCAATTAGATTATTAAAGTGCACGAGCATTATTAGTTCGAATACTCGGAATTATAATTGCAAGATTAATAAATAGTGCAGCATTGAAAAATTAAATCATTTAAAAAACGTCTAGTCAATCGAGCAGCATACGTTATACTTAAAAGAAGTCATCCGATAATTATTTTATTGAATAAAGAAACATTTACTGGGAAGCACTGCGATCATCACTCAATTTTTTTAATTTCCCTTCCAGCATTTTTCTCCCTCTTAGCCATCATGGCCTGAGATTTAACGCCCATGACACCACCACCCCATTGTTTCCTAGTATCCTCATACTTTTCGTTGAAGTTGATCTTGATTGAGTTGGTCAAATTCCCGAGTGTGTTCTTATCCTCGTCACGGATATCAACAATAGCTAGGACGGCAGCGGTCTTCTTATGCACCACAGTTCCCAAACGGGCCTTGTCTTTAATGATAGCGTAAGGCACTTGCATTTTTCGGCAAAGAGCGGGCAGCCAAAGGACAATTTCAATAGGATCGACGTCATGAGCAATCAATACCAATTTGGCTTTTTGGGCTTCAATGAGGGCGGTGACATGATTGATACCATATTTAACAACATATGGTTTCTTGGGCTCATACTTCTTGCCCTCTGCTTTGAGGGCGGCAGCATCGGCGATGCGTTTCTTTTTTTCAGCTTTGGTTTCAGGGCGATATTTATTCAATAATCTGAAGACATTGGTGGCAACGCTCTTGTCCAAAGGTTTGGTAAACTGGTTGATGGCCGGGGGGATTTTAAGACGTTGATTGAGAATCTTGCGTTGTCTTTGCAAGCGCACATATTCTGGCCACTTGACGAAGCGAGTCAAATCACGCTTAGGTTGAATATCCTGACCTATATATAAAACAAGTTAAGTTAAAGCCAACGGTCATAGATGGCATCTTTTGGGTACAATTAAAAAATATAACGAACCGATTCCGAAATTTCGGGGTCTTTTTTCAAACAATGGATTTTTTACGGACTTGGCTCCATCCTTTTTCTTGACAGGATAAGGAGCGGGAGCGACCTTTTTCGAAGGTTTGGCCTTCGGCTGAATATATCATTGAAATATATAATATATATATATATATTTGGGTCATTGAGCAGAACATTAAAAAACTTGTTAGTTCTCAAGTTTCCATAAATGTTTGCTCTAGTATTTGCCGCCCAACTCCAATGAAGAGGGCAAGCATGCATTTACTCCCACTGTCTCATGAAAGAAAAAAAACCTTTCAGATACACTACCATTGCAATGGATGAATTATTCAACTAGAGGCGTGAACGAGGATTGAAAAAAAAAAATTTTTTTTCTACTTTTGTATTAACTGATGGTAACACCATCTGAAATTTTTTCCACGTGACTTGATCGTAGAATTGTGCTTTAAAAAAATTATGCACAGACTTAAACCAAATATCTTGTTATGATGGATTTTATAGTAAAATTTCGATATAACGAAATAATTAAGGAAATATTTAAGGAATGTTTAATAATATACTATATGTACACGGCGAAATTCGATATAGCGTAACCCTGGGGCAATTAGTAAAATAATAATAAAATAAAATAAAATCTTTCATTATTTCCAAATTTGGATGATCATGTGGTTTTAATGCGTACTCTGTGGAACATGGTACAAACTCGCGGATAAAGTCTTTATTTCGTTCGCGTTTTTAAACATAATGCCGCGAGGTAGAACAAGAAGATATGCAAATGACGTCGCCGAGGAACAGTCCTTTTCGCGACCCAGCACTACACCAAGTGAGGGCAGCAATAAGAGAGTGCGTCTTGGAGGCGACTCTCCCTCTTCTCCTCTGACGCCTTCGCGTAAAGGGAAAAATGCTCAGGCGGAGTAAGCTACGATTTGTTATCAAGTTCTATACTCACTCGAGTTTAAGATAACTCCATTTGAACCTCTTTTGCTAACTGGGCACATAATACTGTTAAATGTTTGTAGATATCAAATAGGGTCCATTGTTCGCGTTAGTCTAAAGAATTTTGTTACATACGATTCTGTCGAGTTCAGACCCGGACCGAACCTTAACATGATCATAGGTCCTAATGGTACGGGAAAAAGCACGATCGTTTGTGCGATTGCTCTTGGTCTCGGTTGGAATAGTTCGGTACGATTTCGTTTATTACTATTATTAATTTTCAGTTACAATATAAATGACCCTTGTGGATTTCGAAATGAAAGCTCCTAGGACGTGCTAAGGATATTTCAGATTTCATCAAGAATGGTCAGGAACGTGCGTCAATAGAAATTGAGCTACAGAGTAGACCAAAAAATGTAGTAATTATGCGGATGATTAAGAAATCTACTAATAATTCCCAGTGGAAGTTAAATGGTAATAAGGGTTGTTATGTTCTACTCCGAAAGAGGATGAGTTGATCCTTAGAAATGTATTTTAGGTAAATCTACCAGCCACAAAGACATACAAGGCATAATGAATTCACTCAACATTCAAGTTGACAACCTCTGGTAAATTTTCTCTTGATCTTCAATTGGCTATAGCACACTTGATGGAAATTAACATTGCTATTTGTTTCTGCAGTCAGTTTCTTCCGCAAGATAAAGTGAGCGAATTTGCACAAGTAATTATCAAATAATTTTTGGTCACTTTGTTTTCGGCTTGTGAATATCGAGTTACCATTCATAATTACAACTAATGATACTAGATGTCGCCTCCTGAATTACTTATGCAAACTCAAAGAGCTGTTGGTGAAAAGGAATTGATTACATGGCATGAGCGTTTGATCAAATTAAGAGAAGAAGAAAAAAAGTTATTGGCGGTAATTGCATTATTTAAAATTTTAAAGTTCATTCGTGCTAAACAAGCTACGACTAATGCAAGTAAATTGTCGATTGCGTTGATTACAGACCACTAAAGTTGACAGCGATGAGATCGACAATCTCGAAAAAAGAAATTCCATATTGGAAAGAGATGTAACCCGTTTCAAAGAAAGGGAAGCCATATTGAGAAGAGTAAGCAAATGTGAATTTTAATTTCAAAACGGTGTATAGTTTTTTTTTGCATTTGGCGTCCGACTGTTCTATTACATGTAAAAAAAGAATGTAAAGATCCTGTTTTATTTAATAGATTCAGTTATATGAATTACGTATTCCGTTTGCTCGTTATGGCGTGGCGAAAAATTTGTATGATGAAATAAAGAATGAACGAGCGGAAGCGCATTCAACTTACAAACGCCTTTTAAAGGAAAACGAACCTGCTAATGCGAGGAAAAGGTTTGTGGTTGGTTCTTGGACTACATTCGTTATAATAGAACACTCACAATTTCATTGTGTATTAGCGAGCTTGAGGATAAATTGAAGGAGGCAGGTGAAGAAAATAAAAGATGTTTGGGGTCTTATAATGCGAAGACAAAGGAGATGAAAGAGACTGCGAACAAGTTGGAAAAAACGGTTAGATTAAGCTTCAAAGAGACTCTCAAGTGTTTGGGATTTTAATTGCTTTTTTTTTCTACCAAAGGAAGGGGACATCGATAATGCACGCAAGGAACTGTCCAGCATTAAAAGAAGAGAGAGAACGAGGCAGAACTTGATCACCCAGCTTCGAGCAGAAATTAATGACCTGGAAGAAAGAACCAAGGTTCCACCAAGGGTTGACACATCAGACATCGATCGTAGAAATGTGGGTAACATATGTCTGATTTAAGCACGCTTAGATTTATTTAATTCACTCAGATTCTATTTTCTCTAGGGCGATATTAACCGCCGTTTGCGAGAAGTGAGTTCACAAATTGACGACATCAACGAAAAGATACAACAAAAAATTGAGGAAAGCAGGAATTATAATCTGGAGATTATTTCATTACAAAAACAGTAATTTTTTATTAAACTGTATTAATCTATCTTTTGAATCTTCGTTTCATCCTACATATTTAAAAATCTTTTCTTTGTTTGAAGATTGAAGGAACTCGATAATGTGAGGAGACTTCGACTTGATATCTTGCGCAACGACTACGATACCATTTCTGCTATTGAATGGATTCGAAAAAATGGGGACAAATTAGTTGCACGTGTTTATGATCCAATGCTCCTGGAGATTGACATTAAGAACATGCGCTACGCTGACGCAGTAGAATCCCTCTTGGGAAATTCTACAAAGGTAAAAGTTGCATGGTTCACCAATTCGCGATTTGTTTAGCGTCTTATTATTCAGTTAACTTTCTTAGACATTCGTTTGTGAATCGGATCAAGATTATCATACCATCACGAAAGCGCTGTGCGATATTCAAAAATTGAGAATAAATGTTCTTTGCATCTCTCATTTATCCATGAAAGATTTTCCTTATCCGAGATCCATTGAACAAGTATGCAAGAATTGTCTTTCAAAATTTTCCGGCAACTATAAAGTTCTCTGTAATTAACCTAAGTTTTTAGCTTAGGGCAATAGGTTTTGAAGGGTACCTTTTAGATCAAATAAATGCTCCGCCGATGCTGCTTACCGCAATTTGTGACCAGGCCAACTTTCATAGAATTGTGAGTATCAAGTTCATTTTGACCAAGTGGGTTAATCTCATTATTCTCACACATTCCTTTTATTCACCTCTTTCTTTCTACTAATTTAACTAGCCGGTGGCTAAAAATGAAACAGATGTTAACCACAATGACATCTTGAGACGTCCGGAAATCAGGAAATACATTGCGGGAAACACATCATACTCCATTACATCCTCAAAATACGGTAAAAAGCTCAGTCAAACTTACACAACCAGAATTAGGCCGGCGAGAATATTTACCAATACATGTATGTAAGTTTTCTCAAATATCTTTATCGATCTTTCATATATTGATCCTCGATTTCTTTTTATGTTATACAGTAAATGTTGAACAAAGGCGTAACCTTGAAAGGCAACTTCAAGAAGTTCAATTAAAATTACAGGAGAATGATAGAATTATAGGAAAACTAAGGAATGATGAGGCAAAACTTAATGAATCTGTTAGAACATTGCGCGAAGAAAAGGTAACAATGATTCTTATAATTAGTTGTTTGTTATGTTTCATTCGTACCTATTCTTACAAAAACTTCCTCAAGGCGCGAATAATTGAAGAAAAACGAAGTATTCAAGCTTCATTGAGTGAATTTGAGAGGCTTAAGGTCAAGCTTGGTATGTGTACCACAAAATATCGTGTTTTCACGTTTATCTAACCTATATCGGTGTTATTTAAGATAATAAAAGATCGCAATTGGAAAGGCAACGACCGAACCCCGTGAAAGATGACGAAAAAAAATTGAGGGGCAAAATTCGTGAATTTGCCAGAAAGCGTGGTCGACTCGTTGCCGAATTTCAAGTTAGTGACAACAAATGAACGACGTCTGTCCGATTCGGTGTACTGAGATCAACCATTCAAAATTTTATATTTTAGGATCATTTGAAAGAGAGTAAACAGCTATTTTCCGATCGTATTGTTGCATCATTACAACATATTCAGTATTTTTCTGAACTCCATGAACTTGAAAGGCGAACTAAAGATAGAAATGAGGCTTTGAAACAAGCGCATGTGAGATACGTGGAAGGTGAATAGCAACTTTAAGCGTTGCATGAGATATAATGGCTAGAAGTATTTCTAAAATAATGTTCACCCTTTAAAGTCGACGGTAGATTCAGTTCTGCTAAGGCAAATGCGAAACGCTTGCTGAATGAAGCTAATGCCAAAATTGAAGATGTGGATGAAGAAACGAGACTTGCTCTTCAAGAGGTACTAGATCATACGTTTTCATTTTTTTTTTTTCATTGAAGTTGAGTTTCTGGTTTATTTTGACAAATTAATTTCCTAATTACAGATAAGTCAAGGCATGTCCCTTGACGAGCTTGAGGATGCAGTTGCGAGCGAGCGCGCTAAAGCCGATTTACATTATGTTGTAAATCCTCACGTGATAGAAATGTACGATAAAAGGAAAGCCGAGGTATTCTCTTTTTTTTTGACTAAGATTCACATATTTGGTGAACATACTGACCCTCATTCGTATCATTAGATCGAATCAATAAAATCTAGATTAGTAGTAAAGACGAGGGAGTTAGAAAAGCTGACAGAAGAATTGTCATCTTTGAAGGTAGGTAATTTTTTATGATAACGGGATTAAGCAGTTAGGTACTTATTGTTCTCTTATATCCACGTAGGAAAAATGGGTACCTAAACTGGAAGAACTGGTGAAAAAAATCAGTCAAGAATTCTCAAATGCTTTTGATCGTAAGTAGTTTTCCGAATCGTCATTTATCTTCACTGTTGGGCGACCTTAGTTGGATTCCGTGCTCCATGATTAAATATTTTGATTATAATAGGAATCGGTTGTGCAGGCGAAGTTCGAGTCAGCACCCATGATGACTACGATAAGTGGGGCATTGATATTTTGGTGAAATTTAGGTTCGTTCTCGGACATTATTATTCTTTATGTAACTTCGTAATAAGAATGATTTTAATTTCGTTTGTTAATAGGGATAACGAAAAGCTTCAAGCACTTACAGGCCAGCGTCAATCAGGAGGTGTAAGTATAGATGTTCACTTTATGTCGCGGATGAAATCCTAACCCTTGATAACCATAATTCTAACCTGATCACTCTCATTGGAATCTTTAAAGGAACGATCTGTTTCTACTATTATGTATTTGATGTCATTGCAGGAACTGGCAAAGACACCTTTTCGTGTCGTTGATGAAATCAACCAAGGAATGGATCCACGCAATGAACGATTGGTACATAGTCAGATGGTTCAAACTGCTTGTCGACCGAATACTTCACAGTAAGTCTTTTTTGATAAGAGAGCAATAACACCATATACGCGTTCTAACAAGCTCGTTTTCTAGATACTTTTTGATTACTCCCAAGTTGCTGCCTGATCTAGAATATCATGAAAGAATGAAGATACTTTGCATATATAATGGAGAATGGCAACCCGAGAGTATGGATTGGCGTAAATATATTGACGATTACAAAAGATCCAAATAAATCACTATCTATCGTAGTTCTACAATTTGGCGTCCATTATATAGATTGTTAATTTTATTTCATGGCGAAATGTTGTTTACTGATATAAAATGCCAGGATTACAATACACAATACTAATTAATATTTCAATGGAACACAGTGTGTCACAAAACTTCCAAATTTACTTGCAGGATATTATTTGAGACAATTAAAATCCAATGAAAAATTATGAATTTAATTTTAGAAAAATTTATAATGTAATTTAAAAGTATAAGACTTTACAATATGCTATATACTGCATATTGTGAATGCACAGCGAGGCACAATAATAATAATAATAATAATAATAATAATAATAATAAAACAAAAACAAAAACAAAATATTGGATATTAAAATTCCGTGGGAAAATTTTCACGTGTTTGCTTTAATATTTACTCACAATGAGAAAAAAAATTTTTTTTCGAGATCCTGATAAAACATGAATAGCAAAACAAAGTTTGACTCTTTCAATATCACGCTACGATCGTATTACCCACAAATCATGATTTTGCATGAGTATCTTTCGTTGCAATGCGGTGAACAGGTTGAATTAATTCGTGAAGGGGATCACGTCGATTATATATATTTTTTGAAAACTTCGGCGATAAGTGTTTCGACTGATAAACCATTTCCGAAAAATTGTTTTGGAGAAATTCCAGAGTGCACGTTTGAAGATGTACCTACAATCATATTTAATTAGAACATCCATGCATGGCTTGAAGAGAATAATCGACTGTAATGTCATTTTTTGTAGGTCATTGATTGTACCATCAAATACTTTGTTAATTCCCCCAAATCCACTCCTAACATATTGTCATTAGGCTTTGTTAAGGTAGAGTTGGTTGTTGGCGATTAACAAGTCGGAGAATTTTAATTTGCCCAGATCTGATAAAGAATTTGGTTTGGATGTCACTTGTAGCCACGTTCAATAAATTCTAAAGGCTTCAGCATAGAGTATGATAATTCCACTGTTGATCATCTGCGACGTTCACAAAGTTGGAAGGAACTTTTCCTAAGGTGAGTCAAGGTGCGTGATGACTTCGCATTTGCAAATTTTAGATGCAAATTATTTGAATTTTTATAGACTTGGAGAAGTAGCGATGACATATTTGCTAAGAAATGCATCGATATTTATTGCACTTCCAAATAAGTCCTACCTTCAAGTAGTAGGTACGGTTTCCGAGATTTTGTATCTTAGATGCATGGATTCTCGATTGAAATCATAAATGTTTGAACGTAGGAACGTTGATCAGCGAGATTCCTTGCTCACCTAGCTCACCTAGCCCAAAGTCGTCCTCCGAAAATGATACCGGCAGTTTCTTAACCACACCGAACTCCTCCTTCGACTTTTCCGATCAATTCCTTGAAAGCGATGGTGGCTTAGGGAAGAGGCTGTCCGAATCGTGCGATGAATTTCCAAATAAAGTGATTAAAATGGATGAAGATAAAGTTGCCGAGATAAAAAGTCGCGCTAACATCTTTTTTAGCCGATCGAGAATGTTTTTTGTCTATATCCCGGTCCATAACGCCGAAGAAACTTTCTGGGTCGGGTTGTCAAGGAATCGTAAGTAGAAAAAAAAAAAAAAAAAATAATACTGTTGATTTGGAGTTAAAACTTAACGTGAGACTTTTTTTTTTTTTAAAAAAAAAATAAAAAAAAATAAAAATGATGATAATTAATAATAGATATTCTGAATAAGGTCAAATATTCGAAAAGTCAAGACTCATTGGATTTACTTCTTCGTTATATTTTTCCACTGCAGTTTGGTCTTCGCAATGTGTTCTCTATAAGTAGTAATGATCGACAAACGAGTTCAAAAATTACATTCAAGTCATACATGGACAGATCTTCTGAACTGGTGGTAGGAATCACCACTTTAAAGAGTTTATTTCTTAAACATTAAGTAGTCAAGTTTTCTTTTACTTTTAGAAACCACTATCACAGGCTCCTCCTCGACTGAAGAAATTGTTGCCAATGTTGGAATGCATGATGAAGCAACACCGAAGATGTCGTTATATGGCATTGCTTGATAAATACTGTCCTGTTAAGGTATTCAACGAAATTCGTCTAAAAATTATAAATATTCGACTGACCTTTTTTTTATCCGGAAGAATGAACCGTTGGAGTGCGAGTCTGATGGTCCTTCTAATGTCGCTTACGCGTCAAACGCTCATCAGGCACGCATATTTATGTAAATATGTTGTCACCATCACTACGCGAATTTTTTTAATGCTTATATGCTATGAAATTAGGTTACGACCTTTGCTGTTTCAGCGATGAATCAGGTGATTCCTGAGGAATTCTGGGGATGTGTGGAAAATCAGAAACTTATATCCAAGGGTCAGGGCCTCTTTACTTTAATTTTAATATTAATTGGTACTTCCTGCAGTGACTCCAATGGTAATCATCTTATAAAACAGCTGTCGAAAAATTTATCTTGCTTCGACGCTACGAGGTGCTTTCTTTGCATGAGGTTTTGGAGAAATTTAAAGTAAATATGATTTTATCCATGAGCTAATTTATACATATGATTCATTATTTTAATGCAGCATGATTAATTTCTGCTAAAATTACAAAACTATTTAGATCAAACAGTGTGGATGGCTCGAAGTGGAGGGAATAAAGAATAGCAGAGTGGAAGCTGACAAGCGCGTTGAAATCTTGAATGAATTCGTTTGGTGGACTTTTGAATGTTTCCTCATCCCACTTCTAATGGTACGTGAATTTCGATTTAACATTGAACCGAATGCTTATCTGTGCTGCAAACTAATTCGTTCCAAAATACTATCATAAGAGCACCTTTTATGTGACAACTAATGCTGCCTGTAAGTATCGGGTGTTTTATTATCGACATGACGTTTGGTGTCGCATTGTGCAAAAGGGCATTGGGACGCTTACGGACTCTACTTTCGAGGAAATTTCCTTGGTAACTTGGATTCATGAAATTATGTTATTCTTTATCCATCAAATTTATATTCACGTTATTGTTGTATAAAGAGTGAGAGCAAACTAATGTTTCAGCGTGGAAAACCGGTGCATTCAAATGTCAGATTTCTTCCAAAAAATAAAAAAAGCGATGTCCGACCAATAATAAATTTCAAGGCAACTATCAATTCTTTCTATCAAGGGTCTACTGTTTTAAGAAAAACATGTGTTCATATCGGATTGTTCTTTAAAAAAGAAAAACGGGGTCTCCAAATCCATCAATTCCTCTTTGCGAGACACATTTCACATATTAAATTTTGAAAAGGTCTGTTTATTTTCGATAGTCGCGTTGATCTTAAAAATGCTTCAAAATTATAATGCTTGCAGTTGAAATTCAGGAGAGGCAAGCGATGGACCGAAACTCCTCACACCTTGGTGGTTCAATGTTTAGCTTTAATGAAATATATGAAAGGTTAAAGCAATTCCAGAAAAGATTGGTTCAACTTAACCAACATAAGTATGCACTTTCCGCTATTATGTTATTATGCCGATCGCCGTTTATTCAATTGTTCATTCACAATTCAGAAAAAAGTTGCATTTTGCAAAAGTTGATGTCCGTTGTTGTTTCGAGTCTATTGATCAAGATCAATTGTTGGAAATAATCGATGACGTTCTAAGCGAGGTTAGCGGATTATTATTATTATTATTATTACTATTATTATTATTAGCAAGATATTGGAAGACCATATTTGTTAATCATAATTTATGCTAGTGTGATTATGCCATACATAAGTACGATGTAGTTAATTATCAGGGCGGCAGAATCCGTTCACACTATTCTCGTTACGCAAACACTTCAGGTATTTCATATTATTTCGGGGGGGAGGTTTTTTTTTTTCATTACCCAATGATGGATCTTTTTCAGATGACTTTGCCAATTTCCCAAGACATGCGCAAGGATTGTCTGGCAAATTTATAAATAGCGTGATCGTGGATCGTGTTAAAGAATCGTATGTGGACAAGGAAGTTGTACTTGACTTATTAGAAGAGCATCTTAAAAATAATTTGATCAAAGTACTTTACTTTAAATGTCATCAATGTTTGTCATCTCTCTGCGATATCCACGACCTTTGAACGAAAACGAACATCATTTGTAGGTCGGCAGTACATTCTATAGGCAAACAATTGGAATCCCGCAGGGATCGGTAGTATCAACACTGCTTTGCAGGTTAGTAATTTTTTACATCATTGTTTGATGTAACAGGATGAAAAACTCCCTACCTTGCAATAGCTTTTATTATGGCGCTATGGAATGGACCGAGCTTCCTTTTGTGAGACATGATGATGGAGTAAGTTGTGCACACATAATTTATTGCTATTCTTACATATCTAGAACAGTGCATCACTAAAACATTGCATTTCTTTTTCAATCAAAGGTGATGCTTCGACTCCTTGATGATTTTCTTTACATAAGCACCGACAAAAATAAGGTTATTCGATTCATAACAGCAATGCACAGAGGTATCCGAACAAACATTTGCTTTCTTCTTTATAATATAGTATAGTTGTATTTCAATATGAGGCATGGGCGATTAATCGTCCTTGTATTCTATAGGTCATCCTAAATATCGATGTCATATAAATGGAGAAAAAAGTTTGGTGAATTTTGATATTACCCTCGATGGTAAACCCGTCCAAAAATTGAATGACAGTCTGGGTAAGCATTGTCATGCTTGTGTTTGTAAGTCCTGCGATGTTTTTAAATTTGTAAAATTATGTTCACCGTTTACTTGTTTATTTTATTCCATTTTCAGATTTTCCTTGGTGCGGTATGTTGATTAATATTAAAACACTTAATTGCAGGGTTGATTATACACGCTATGTCGGTTCATGTAAGCACTCATGTTTTGAGATCCTACCCTCGCAAAGTTTAATTGTTTCATTTGCAAATTTTATAATCGTCAATATTTTAGTTATTTCCGATTCATTGACGATCAATACAATGAGAAAACCGGGTGAAACGTTGAGACAAAAGATGATTGAGTAAGTACCTTTATCAATATTACGTCACGATTTCGCATCCCAATTCTAATTTATTTTTGCCAAATAGAGTTGTTACAACCAAATGTCTTCCGATATATAACGATACATCATTCAACTCCAGGGCAACTGTTTTACTTAATATTTACCAGAATTTTTTGATGACAGCCATGAAATTTCATCACTACGTCAAAGGATTTTCGCGTCAAGGCGCTCAAAGAAGTGCAAAGTTTGAGAAAAGTATTTTATTTTTATAGTTTCTTTAAAACGCTATGTTATCTCCACCCGTTCCATTAATCGTAACTTTTCTTCTTTTAATGATACTACAGAAGTTATTGAAAATACCATTTTGTGTGTATTCAAGGTGTTAAATAAAATGCAATTGCAAATAATTGTTCAGGCCGATTACAAATGTGATGTTAGGCAAGAAGAAATCACATGGTGTGTGTTTAAATTTCCTGCTTGTTTGATTATACAATAATGCATCTTTATGTTAATATTAAATTGCATTCGAATCTGTAAGGTTAGGTTTTCACGCCTTTTATTATATATTAAATAAAAAACATTCTACCCATAGAGATCTTTTAATAGAACTTAATCAGATGCTATCGAATTTACCTCGAAATGAAACTCTGGAAGTTGCGGTGAATTTGAATTCTTCAAAAATTTTCGATGATTTATTATTTTAATTTTCAATTTTTTTTTTTTTTAGATGTTGATTTTCTATCAATTTTATATTGAAATAATTAATAATTTATTGTGATAATAACAATTTTCAAAATCATATCCTACTTCTAATAAAGATCTCTATGGGTAGAATGTTTTTTATTTAATATATAATAAAAGGCGTGAAAACCTAACCT